GTTCTTAAGGCCAGCCTGAATTGCATAGTGAGACTTTGTCTCAAAAAAAGAAAAGAAAAGAAAAGAAAAAAGTTACTGTGAATTAAAAATATTCAAAGTAAGGGCCAGCCACATAGCTCAGTGGATTAAAGCACCTGCTTAGGCAGACACAGGGACAGAGGTTCCATTCCCAGTGTGCCTGTGTTGGCCCCATCCCAGGGGCTCACTGAGATGGTGATTAAGACTGGGCATGGTGGTGTGCTAATCCCAGCACTTGGGAGGCTGAAAACAGGAGAATCATTATGAGCCCAATCTGTATAGTGAGACCCTGGAAACCCTGTAGTAAATTAAAAAAAAATCAAAGCAGTGAATGGTGTAATCCAAGCTACTTGGGTGGAGGGAAGATTGCCAGTTTGAGACCTGCCTGGGTACCCTAGAGATGCTGTCTCAAAACACAGTGCTTGGCTAGTATATAGGTGACCCTGGGTTTGATCCCTACTGCCAGAAAACAAAAAATTCCATCTAGGGAAGGTCTGCATTATCTTTATGTTTTTTGTGGAATCAGGGATTGAACTCAGGCCCTTGTGCTTGCCAGGGAAGCGCTTATTCCACTGAGCCATCTCCCCAGCCCCTGCATTATCTTTACTAGCAAAACATTGCCTGGGTTTGGTTTTTGTTGAGGGAGTATTGGAAATTGAGCTCGGAACCTCATGCTTTCCAGGCAGGCAATGTACTGCTGAGCTATATCCCAAGCTCCGGGTTGTTTTTGAGACAGAGTCTCATGTAGTTGGGCTGGCCTTGAACTCCTGGGTATGCACCTGCCTCAGTTTCCCAAGTGCTGGAATTCCAGGCACGTGCCACCACACCCAGCTAATCATTGCTTAATAAAATCCAGCTGACAACTCAGCTGTTACATCACTTTACCTTAGCTTTTGGCGTGACATTAATTTGCTTTTGTTCAACACTGTCATATCCTTTTATCCCCAGAGTAGAACAGATCTTCCTTTTCTTCTTGAACTTTCCTGAAGGCGTACCAGATGGCACGCACATGTAGGAGCCACAGGCTCAAGACAGATCCGCTTAAAACAACTGAATTACTTTGTGTCCCTTTTATGTTCACAATACATTAGCTTAGATGCTGTGGACACCAATGGTGACTCCATCCCTGCTACCCTGCCCATTAGGTAGCTCAGCTGCCCAACCACACTGTCCCTGAGTGAATCAGCCTCCCTCATTACAGATGCGTGCCACGGCCCCTAGACTTGATCTTATTTTTTTGGTATGAAGAATCAAACTCAGGACCCTGTGCTGGTCAGGGAGGTGCTGTGCCACTGAGGTATATCCCTGGCACACCCAGATTTTAGCTTTTGGGTTTCTGAGACTTTTTTTTTTTTTTAATTTTAGACGATACCTAGTTAAAATATTGAGCAGGAATTGATATTTGAACCTCTGTGGAATGTGTTCTGGTTGCCTATGTCTACAGTATGGCAATAAAGGAGATGAAGTGGCAGTTTTAAATAGAATCATTCGCCATGTGTGGTGGTGCAAGCCTGTAATCCCAGTATTTGGGAGGCTGAGGCAGGAGGGACTGTGAGCTTGAGACCAGCCTGGACTACAAAGTAAGCCCAAGGCCAGTCTCAACTGCATAGTGAGACCTTACCTCCAAAAAAAAAAAAAAAGAAAAAAGAATATATAGGCAGCCACAAACATTTCTTGGTATCCCAGGATTCCCAAGACTACAGTTTAAAATTACGGACATGCTGGATGTGGTAGTGCAATCCTGTCATCTCAGCCATCTGGAGGGCTAAAGCAGGACTGCCGCAGGTTTGAGTCCTGGACTCTTAGTGAGACCCTGTCTCAAACAACCAAACATATAGTTTGGAAAAGATGTTATTATGGTTTTTTTAATAATAATCTTTTTATGTCTTGTACTCTTAACTTTTTTTTTAAATTAAAAAACAATTTATTTGGAAGATGAGGAACGAGATGACAGACTACTACTTCTGATAAGCAGAGAATTCAAAAGCGAATTGCTCCTAACTTCTTTGAAGCTAATGATACACAATGTAACAACTATTGTTAATCTCTTATTTATGAAATTTTGCTTTATTTTTAACCCTTAAATAGTTGGGAAAATATATATAAAATCCGAGATACTAACTGAAGCTTTTCAGTTAGTTGGCTTTGCCACCTTGTAAGTAATTTATTTCTGTAACTCAACGTCTTCATCTGGAAAGTAAGGAAGGTGGGTGTTGTATTAAAATGAAATCAACACTGCAGAATGGGCGCCGGGGAGATGACTCAGTAGAATAAACACTTGCCTGGCAAGCGCAAGGGCCTGAGTTCAACCCCCAGTTCTGGAAAAAAAAAAAAAAAAAACAACAAAAAACAACAACCCAAACCAAACAAACAACACTGCAGAATGCACAGTAGTAGAAATACTGAACTTTTCCACATTGTTTTCTCTCAGCCAGACAAGACTCTTCAGAGGTAGGGAACCTTTACCATACACATTCATAGCATCCAGCTCTGCGTCAAGCATGCTGTTCAGAAAGGCAAGCTTCGCGATCCCCTGGCTAAATCAGGAGAGCAAGTCAGAACACCCGAAGTCTTGAAAAATTTATTTGGAAAGCTTCTAATTAAGGAGGAAAAGAATGAGTCAGACACTGAGGGCAGGATTCTTTTTCCAGTTTAGAAAGTGCTGCCCCACCCCATAGAATTTCTCTAGAATCTGTCTCCTGGACCTTATCTTCCTTGAGGCATAATTACTTAAGATACCTGATCAACTCTCCAAACCAAAGCTGGCCAAAATGGGCACCTAGTTCCAACTTATGGTTGGGGGGGGGACGGGACTGATTTTTTCCTTTGGTAATCTTCCTTTTGTATGTTACATTCATGTTACAAAATGTATGACTGTAACATGCAGCTCCCCACCCCCATCCTAGGGGAACCCAGGGCTTTCTCTCTTCCCCTGAGCCGCATCTGCTGCCCTCACAAACAGCTTCTAACTCCTTGCAATAGCAGGCAGGCTTCCTGGCATGCAGGCTGCGACATCCCAAGTGAAGAAGCTACTCTGCCTCCTGCGGGCCACAGGAAGAAGGACACTGTTTCTGTTGGCTTAAGGTCACATTTCTCCTCATATAAAGGGGAACTTGTGGAGGGAAGAAAGATGAAGAATGGGCTTCATTTTGCTGGGTCTGGATTAAGCTTTAGGTGAAAGTAACCACTTAGATCACATGCCTTTGGTTTTTCATTCTGTGAGCTATCACCTGAAGCTGGTGCATCTTTTGCTAACTTCTGCTACAGAAACAGAGAGGGCTAAGGAAAGGCCTGGCCTGACTCCTGGAGTGTCTGTTCCCTTTCTCTTAAGGGGTGGAGATGGGGAGCCAGACAAATCCCACACTAAAGACCCAAGTGGGGCTCCTTAAAAACTCAGGGTCCCATACCAGCTTCTCTTCTACACGCTGTCTTCAGTATTTTCTTCCCCCACCCAAGCCCCAATAAAACACACCAACTGCTTTAGAGTATTTCTGGGTTGGATTTTTTCATGGGTCTTTTTGTTTTTTATTTCAAATACTGAAAAAGTCCCTGGGCTCTGTGGGACTCCCCACACTCACTGCCCTTTCCCTGGTAACAAATCTATTTCAAGGACTGTATATATG